CGCCGGCCTGGCCGCGCGGATAGTCGCGCCCGCCGCCGGGACACCGTTACCTGCGGCCGGGACCCGGCCGACACGCGGCCGAGCGACCGAGAGGCCACGGGCAACAATGGCGGCGGCGTCGCGGGCGCCTGCGTGGCGGGCTCAGGCCCGAGCTACGGAGGGACCGCTGGCTCCGCCGCTTCCCTTCCCCAGAAAACAGAACGTGTCTCGGCCAGGAGCCGCACGTCCCCTCGCGGTCCTGAGGAACCCGGCCCGGAACCCCCGCCCCGCAGCTTCGTCGCGCCCTCGCCTCGAAGCCACTGCGCATGTGCATCAGGGCAGCGCTGCGCGCCCGCAGAGCCAATCGGAGCCCGAGCTCCCGCAGCCCCTCCCCCTAGCCTCGGGCCCTGGACCTGTCTCCATGGCAACCTCCTCCGCCCTCACTACCGTTAGCTCGCAGGGCTCCGAAGGGAACTTGAAAAAGAAGTTTCCCAGGGCAGAGACGGGGCTGGTAGATGACCTGGGGGTCGGGGGTACCGGCATCTGCGGAGGGGTGCGGATGGGGGTCGACGCCTCGCGCCCGGTACCCAGAGGAAACCGGGCGCCAGAGTTCCTAGAGGAAGGATGGGCAGAGGACAGGTGGCTCCAAAGGCGGAACGACCTAGCGTGCTGGTTCGGGATTTACTGTGCACAAACGTCACCGTTACACGTTCTGAGTCTCCCCTCAGGAATCGGAATCTGATTCCGAGACTCTCAGATTGGAAAAAAGAGCAACGGCCAACAACGGGTTATTTATAAGAGACACAGAACAAATCTCATAAAACGCTGAAAAATAAAAGGACAGAAAGCACGTTTCAGACGTTTCTGTTGCCTACTGCGGTGTTAACAAACCAGCCCCAAACTCGGTGGTGTTCAAAGGGCAACCGTTTTATTATGCTCATGGATTCTGCGGGTCGGAGATTTGGAAGCGGAACGGCGGGGGCGGCTCTTCTCTGCCCCTCTGTGGAGCCTCAGCCGAGATGCTTTTACGGCTGGGAGGGTCCACCTGGGCTTTTTCACTCACGTGTTTATTGCTTGAGATGAAGTCATTTAAAAACGAGCTCAACCTGGATTTGACCAGAGTGTCTAGATGTGGTCTGTCCAGCATAAACGACTCAGGGTAGTTGGACTTATTACATGGTGGTCTGGGATCCAAGAATGAGTGTTCCAGTGAACGAGGGAGAAGCTGCGTGGACGACTATGACAGAACCTTGGAAGTCACCTGGCATCAATTCTGTCACGTTCTTGGTCAAAAGGCAGTCACAAGCCGGCACAGAATCAAATGGAGGCAGACGTAGACCACCACACGAGGAAAATTTTAACAAAAAGAAAGTTGGAAAGTGTGATGGTCTTTTGGTGTTTCAACTGGGTAGGCTACAGTCCCCTGCTGTTCAAGTAAACACAATCTAGGTGTTGCTGGAAGGTTTTTGTAGACGTGATTAAAATCCATAAACTCAGTTGAACTGAGTGTGGGAGATTATCCTAGATAATGTGAGTGGGCCCTATTCAATCGGTTAAAAGGCTGTAAAAGCAGATCTGAGGCTTCCTTGATGAAAAAGAAACTCTGTGTACGATATCTTCCAACCTGCCCTTCCTGATGGGCTGCTCTACGGACTTTGAACTTGCCTAGTCAGCCCCCTCAATCGAGTAAGCAAATTCCTTGCAACAAATCTCTTATATATCCTACCGGTTCTGCTTCTCTAGTTGAACCCCGACTGATACAAGTAATAATCTTAATACCTGACAAACTGAAATTTAGGAACACCACAAGGGAATAAATAGGAATGTTATGTACTCATAAAAGGAAAAATTGACAGAGAAGATATATCCATCATAAATATATGTCTCTAACAATGAGGCCTCCAAACATATCAAGCAATAACTGATATAACTGCAGGGAACAAAACATAAATGAATAACTGAAAATTGTTCTGGAAATTTTAACAAACCTTAGAGTGCACACTGTGGTTGCTGCCAGGATCCCCCTTCGGGGATGCCAGAGTGTTTGGCTGCTGATGTATCACAGCTAAATATCTCCCTGGGAATTGTCCTGGCTGAAGGGAACTGCCTCTCACAAGTTAAATCTACTCCCCAGGGGCAGTCCACATCTGAAGATTGCTCAGTGCATGGGTTCAAAGACCTGGCCCCCTCCACTCAATGTACAACCTTTCTGAAGGAGCATCTGGGCTTAAGAGTTCCTCATGGGACCAAATGAGGTCTGTATTGGAATCACACAGCATTTCAATTATTCCCAGTGCTCCTTAGATCAGTCCTGTACAGGCATTCTTCTAGGTAACACGACCCAATAATGCCCCCGCATGCAGTTCTCCATCTCAGAATCTGTTTCCCAGGAATCTGCTGTAAAAGTTGATACCAGCGGTGATCCTAGGAAAGCAAACTCTAAAATAGGATTTTAAGCTGGATCAACTGCTAGCTTGCTGGCAATAAGGACCCTATCATTTGTGATTGGTAGAGTACCGATAGCACATGTCAGGTTGTAGCACTGCAATTGTTATAATTATCACTGGTGTCAAAGTGGGGTGGAGTATAGATGGAAGGGGATGTGCTGATGGATGCTATATTTCAGGTATTTGTGAGGTTGGGGGATGTATTCTAAGGACTATGGAATTGAATAGCTATTACTGGATGCTATTGACAAGAAAAGACTGATAAGTGATTAATGATCAATTTAAGAGAAAGTGTGAGAATCAGAAGGCTTCTTGAAGCCTGATAGCAAAAAAACCCACAAAAAACAAAAAACAAACAAACAAAAAAACCAAACAAAAAACAAAAACAAAAAACTGAGAATCAGGCCCTAGGATTACACTGTAAGGGTAGCATAACTTCAGCTAAGGTTGAATTCTCAGCCCCAGCAAGTTTTCTTTGACAAGGTCAGGACCCTGCTTAGAAAGGAGAAATCTGAGATTTGAGATGGGACATTTTGATTTATGCTCACAAAAACCTGGAAACAACAACCCCTCTGAATTCTCTAGGCCTGGAAAAGTGGCCCATTCTTCCAAGTCTAAAGCTAACTCTCTGCCTTGCTTGAAGATGATGCAAACATAGGCTTGTACTTTGCAATAAAACTTGTGCTCCTCTCAGGACCTATGCTTTTCTCTCCTCCTGACCAGCAGACCAATAACTAAGGTCAAGTCACCACAAAACCCAACGGGAAATTCTGGGCCTCATAAGGGAGGAAAAGAGCTATTCCCTGAAGATGCCATAGGCCATAACATATATGTACCTGCAGGAACTAGGAGAGTGTGTATGAGACTGGATCCTGAGGAGGCTGGATCAATGAGGGTGGAACTTGAGTACTAGAGAGTTTATTGAAAAGGAGCACACTCCCGTGATTTAAACACTCTGGCGGGGATGCCAGGAGATGGGCTTTTGGAGGATTAGAGAAAGAGATGGCTCACACTAAGCAGAAATGCCAGAATTTCTTGACAGAAGATAAAAGGATGGATTAAAAGTGTCAGAGAATGAGCATACTGGGGTGTACAGAGTAAACAAGACTGGAAACTTACCAGCTGACTATGTTTCATTGAAAGGTCTGGAAGATCATCTGTTTAGGGGATTTGCTATAGAACTGTGCTCCCTAAGGATGGCACTTAACCTTCATAAACAAGGTAAGTTCAACTTTTACATTGAGCAATAAGACTGAAGTGGAAGGGAGGGAGAGGAAACTATGGAGAAGATGAGTAGAACGTGGTGTTTCTACAGGCAAGATATGTGGGCAGACAAGCAGCAGTAGTGATCAATCTATACAGTAAATTAAAATGAAGGATGGATGATCAGGAAGCTGAGGCTAATGGAACCTAACAATCTCTTGCCCTATTTCCAGACCCTAGTCATTTTTCAGACCTGAAACCCATTGACTGAAGAAGCCAAATCTCCAGAAGTCAGAATCCTTCTTTACCACATTAAGTGTATGTGATAATTATTTTTCCAGCCCTCCCTCCAAAGGGACTTGTGGTCATTTACACTGGAAAAGGGGGAATACCTAGATGTTTCAAGGCTATTGGTTACAGTGTCTGAGTTGATATTGATACTTAGGGACCTGAGTATCACGATGATCTCTATGTTAGAATGGAGAAATGTGGGAGCCAGGAAATAAGTGGAGGTCTATCTCTTGACAGGTCCACAGGATTCACTGTCCCATCCAGTGATCATTTCCCAAGACCTTGAATATATAATTGGAATGAATGTACTTGTAGTTGGCAAAACAGATTTGTTCCTTGGCTTGTAGGGTAAGTGCTCTCAAAATGGAAAGGCAAAGTGGAATATTCTGAAACTACCTCCCTACCCTATCCCTGGCCAAGACAAAAATAAAAATAGCATCACATTCTAGAGGGAATTGCAGAGATTCATCTCTCTTAAAGACCTAAAGGGTGCAGGGTGGCATTCCTTATCATATTCCCATCTGATTAAACAGTCAAGCCCTTCCAAAAACTGATGGATTCTAGA